TGCTTCCAACCTTCCCCCAAATGATCCAATAATGCCGACGAGTCACAATCTACATATACGAACTCACATAATTTAATAACGCATCACAATAATACCAACTAACCCGACTAAGTGCCCAACACTTTAAGTCTAATTTTATAAGTTTAGCAAAAATCCCCATTTCATCATTTGAAGGTAAATCCTTGACCTTTAACTCCAATCCTTCATTAAACATATCATGGGATCTAATCATTCCATTAAAAACTCAAAATAACATCGTTTGAACAAGACCCAACACTATTCATCATCCCTACCAACCAACTCTTCTAGAGTTTCATGAATAGAGGTCTAAATACAAATCGATCTTCATAAACATACTCTTCTATATCCATGGAGTATAATAAATAAATTTGGAGTGAAGGGATTACCTTTTTGTCAAGCCCTAGAAAATTCAAGATTTGGGTTCTTGAAGTGTTCTTGAGATTTTCTTCAACAATCTAGGATTTTCATGTAGTTGAAGAGTTAAGAGGTGTATTTAATGAACTGGATCTACCAAGAAAGAATTAAATTCTTACCTAGAGGTGTATTAATGGTAGAGAGCCGTCTTCTCTCTCTAAGTCTTCAAAGACAAAGCCCCAAAACATAAAAGGCCAATTCTTCCCGTAATGGCCTTTAAAAGGCTTTACAGCTCGGATGTCGCGGGGGACGCATCGCATGCACTATCACGCACGTCCCAGTCCCTTCAGCTTGAGCGGATGCGGAGGTGGATGTCATGGCTGGAGTTCACTGCCTCGACTTTGGCAGCTGGAAATACTGGCACGATGGGGATGCAACGCATCCAGGTCAGCGTCCCACCTCTGAAGCTCCTCATCCTTTGATTTCTTGCAAATATTTTCCAATCAACTCTCTTGACTTCTTTTACTTAAAACTCCAGCCACTAATCCCATTATACCTATTTTATGTGCAAGTGACCTTATGTAATTTGATTCAACCGCTCACTTATTTACTAATTAATATTATTCAAGCTTAACATTAATCCGATTAGTTATAGAAATTTGCGGGGCTTTACATTATTAACCTTAAATAATGGGTTGTATGATTACTTTCTCATCAAGTGTTACTCAAATGCGTCAAACTCTTTGCTCTTCCATATCCATTTTATATGTTAAGATCTATTAAATTATTATATCTTTTTCGAATGTGAAATGATTATTATTATTTAGGTATCATATTGATTTTTATGTTTAATTACTAAATTCGGTTAACCTTGAAAGTGTAAATTAACGAAATATTATTGTGAGACGACTAAAAAAACAACTATTATGTGTTACTAAGAAAATTCTCTCATAAGAATATTTTAATAGATAATATGTTTGTCAATATTTTTTATATTTTTACTAAACATATATTTACTTATAAAAAATTTAACAAAGTAAGATTGAAATAATATTTAAGTAACAAAATCCGAAAAATCAGACAAAACCGAACCAATCCAAACCTATATAGTTGGTTTGGTTTGGTTTTGATAAAAACCGAACCAACTCGGTCCATGTACACCACTAGGTACAGTATAAAGCTCCTCCCCTGTAAATTCCATTTTCGGACTCCAAGCCTTAACTATGAATGGCTTGTTATCGAAATGGTATATTCCACCTTGTATTGCACCAGTCTTTCCTATTTCAATGTTAAATCGAACCAACACTGTACCATTTTTAAGCATTGATACTTTGTTTATTCATGTTCCCCCGTACTCTCTGTATATATAACCATTCAAAACCGTAAATGGAGGGTGAGCCCCTAGTACGTAGCAAACTACAACATTCTTCCGGTAAGATATTTCTGAGCTAATATCCTCAATGTCAATTTCACAAATAGGTGAGTTACCATGTATCGCAGGAGACACAAATTCCAGTTTAAAGACAACATTCGTGATTTTTGTAATGTCAAAATTCTCCCAGATTGAAGCCTTTTTCGTCAGTTCGTCTGCTGCTTCAACTTCGTCAGCCCATGACATTCTACTCTTACTTATCATCGCCTCAATCACCTCATCACCCTCCTGCTGTAGTTGCATTTCTTCATATACTATTTCATTCGGGGCAACTTCCTCCACAATTCGATTAATTCCTTCCGATTTCTATTGATTTACCGTCTTCTTCTGTTGCGCTATACGAATTGCAGTTGATTCCTGAGCCACTAATGCCTTCTGAGAGGGGTGCCGAGCTGATCTCTTTCCCATGGATGCGCGCGTTAGGTTAACATGCGCCGAAAGATAAAAATGTAACCGCCTCGTATAACTTTATCATATAAATTGAAGTTTCGCTTCTTCTATCGTCTCAGAACATATTTGTGAATGCTAGTCGATAGTGAACAATATATACCAAGGAAGCAGCATCTTAGTTGAATAAAATTTGTTGGTATATATGATCACGCCCAACTATACCTTATAAAAGGACAATGCGGTCGTTGCAAATATAATCCGGTTTATAAGTCCGGAGTCGAATCCCACAGAGAACTAAGTCTTAGCTACAACTGTTCAATATTGCTAGGAAGACAAGCTCTAACAATTCCTAAGTTATAAATATTAAGATTCTTATATCTAATTAATTAAATAATTAAATTATTAGATTAACAACTAAAGATACTACGGGTTGGAGAGAAGATTAAGGAGGTCTAGAGTTAAGATTTCCCCAATTGTCGGAATCATTCCCTTTATGTCTTCTATAATTTCGCCTAAGTATTCTCTACCGATCATGATCACTTTGCATGTTGTAATTCTCTCCCGAGTAATCACAACAATTTACTAAACGCACTCTCCCGAGCTACATCAGCTGGCTTTTAATACATCTCACTTCAGATCGCACCCAAGGCTTCGTTATCCCTAATCCCGCCTTTAAACCCTCGGTTATAAATCCCTCTTATACTTTGGGAGTGGTGTTGTTCAACAATCACCTAAATATGCACACTCTCCCGAGTTATGCACACTAAATAGGCACAGCTAATTGAGGATCCTATCAATTAACTACAACAAACACGTAGTTGAACAAATAAAGATTAAACTGGCAAACTATATTAACATAATCAAGAAGTTCATCCTTCAATAGGTTCCATCAAAACCTTAGACAAAGGATTTAGTTACTCATGACAATGGGTAAATAAACTATGAAAATATTCATGATCAAAACTGCAAGAAAAATAAAGAGAAGAAGAAAATATGATGTTTTGGGTGATCTCTCGCACTTGTTTTTCTTGCCAAAGTACTCTCTAAAACATTACATGCCTCCCTTGGGCGAGTTCTATTGTTTAATATAGGGTTTTGGGCTAAAAATCCCGTGTTTTGCACTTTGGTCCCTAAAATTTACGCGTCCTGCCGCGGTCCTACCGCGGTTACGCCAGGACCACGGCCAGAGTGGCCTTCAGAATCTGCAATAGTGTTCTGCCGCGGTCCTACCGCGGTTACGGTTTCGACCGCATTTGTTCACCTTGTTCCGTTTGGAATTTGGAAAAACGTAAAACATGAAAGTTGTAGCCATTTGAGTTAGATTTCCAACCATATATTGTGGAGCCCAAATGGAGTTTTGAGCAAAAAGTTATGTGCATTTTACTAGATAGTGCGCAATATGCCTACTCGAGTCTTCTTTTTGTTGTTTTATCATCCGTTGATCCCCGAATACGATCCCGGCTTAATTTCTTGGGCTTTTACTCAGACTTCAAAGCTCCAAATCACTTGAATTCATTCCATAACATCTATATAGCTCGGAATCACTCCTACAAAGCATAAAACATACCATTAGTGCAAAACACTAGCAACTAAAGCGCAAACTCAACTAAAGTGCAGTAAATTAGAGTGTAATAATCGACTAAAATACGTAATTATAGCCTATCATCAATATAATATATAAACTATGTGATTACGCGATTATTGAAGAAGGTGACATTCATTGCCCTAATAACTTTTTATGTTACTAGTTCTGACTTTTGTTGAATATTAAAAGTAATACGAAACATTAAAAGCTCTTGCGCCAATTATGATGCCCCTTTCGGATGTTGTTATATGTTGAGTTAAAATTATCTTGGCCGATTACATAGGGAGGACTAGCTTTATACTCCTTTATTTCACTTAAGTTTAGCAGTGGCGGAGGCAGGATTTCGTTAAGGGGATACAAAAAAGAAAAAAAGTTAAGAAGATTGTAGCTAGTGGAATTTGAACCAATGATCTTACTAAGATTTTGAACCCCTCTGACCATTAAGCTATGATTTTGGGTTGTGTTAAGGGGATTCAAAATATAATATATAGAGGTAAAAAAAATAAATCTTGTCTTATATATATAATGTAATTTTTCGGCGAAGGCTGAAGGGGGTTCGACCCTGAAGTTTAGTATGTATACAAATGACACAAAAAATAGTTGTAAAATATAAAATTTGGACGATAATTGGTTAGGTAGAAACACCTTTCAATGTGTCTCTGTTTCAAAAGCCTATGCAACCCAACTACTATAAATTACGAAAAATATCTTTGTCAAATATAAGTCAAGCAACTGCAACGGTATGCAAGCGCATCTGGTGTAGTGGTATCATAGTACCCTCCACCGGGGTTCGATTCCCCGGATGCGCAGTTATTTTATTTTGAATCGACGCACTTATCACATATTTTTGCACCTGCAAGTGGTGGGCATAAAGTGAAGATTTGAATAGATGTCACTTGATGGTATCACAATGACTACACTTTCTGTTATTTTTGTCATACGTTTTAATTTACATGACTAATTCTTAACGCAATGATTAGCATAAATAATTCGCCCTAAATACTCCCGAGTTAAGTTTCTTTGATAAAACAGTAATATTACTGTATACCGCATAGCATTGCATTTCCCCCGCTACTTTTGCTAATGCTTGAACTAGTTTTTTTTCCATTTCTTATCAAAAGTGACTTGAAGTTTACAAAACAAATAAAAAACAGACATTTGGATTTTTAATGTATTATGCCAATAATATGAAAACTTCCTTTGAGAATGAGAGTTTTTATGATATATTTTCTATAACAATGCTCCCCAAAAAATTGTACCCAAAAATAAAAAAGAAGAGAAACCAAATGGGCGCCATCCAAGTGTAGGAAGTAGGATTTGTCAAATGGAGTACAGAATTTGGGGTCACGTGACGAAAGCGTGCTTCCCATCATTACTACTGAAGGCGTTACTATACGCGCACACACCGACTCGGATGTTGCCGGTTTCAGGCTTCTCTGTGATAACCAACCTTCGCCGCTAACGAAGGCACTCGGTTCGTTTGTCGGGTCAAATATCCAATATGATCGCTAGTGAGCTCCCCCTTTCACTCTCTTCTCTGTTTTCTTTTTGGGTTATGGCTTCTGGGGTTGTTGATGCTACTATCGAATTGCATATAGCTTATATTCGTCTTTTATTTTCTATTCTTTATTCCATTTTTTAAGTAAAGGTGGCTCTTTTCTTTAGCTTTTTCAGTTGCCGCTGTTGATTTTGGATTTCTTCTTGGTTTCTTCAAATACATTTGATCTTTCGTTGGCAAGGTGTATTAGACGACTGAGTTTAGTCAGCTCTGTAGTCTGTAGCCAAATGACATGTTATGATTCTCAAAAGTTTGTGACGATTCCCATGGAGAAGAGACTCTATTCCTTTGGCGAGAAATAAAAATAGGGATGAGTCTTACACTGCTCTAGACCATTTGATCATTTAAGGAGACCAATGTGGGACTTTTACACTGCCACACACCCAGCTCGGGATATGTGGAGCGTGAACAACATAACATGAGAGTCCAACATTGAGTAAACTAAAAATAGGGATGAGTCTGGCTCTAATAACATGTAAAGAAGAAAATGAACCTTGGGTCCAACTCAACCTTAAAAATTACTAGTTCATTAGTTGAGGATTATCTAAGACATATATAAGGTGACAACGCCTCATTCTTTTAATCAATGTTAGAGTTTAACAGATCTCTTCATGTAAGGTACTTGCAAGTACAAGTTGCAACACTAGTGTGGAAGAAAATTAAGGTTGTTAAATAGGACTAGACTAAAGAGGGGATGAACTTTTAAGAAAGTGTGCAAGTGAAAGTTGTATGTAAATACTTGGATGTAAGATGAAAAACAAAAATAAACTGTATGGAATAAAATTGACCAAAAAAGGATAACAAGGGTTGTGGATGTGTTGTGTTGGATGGATGATGTCCTATTGTAAATGTTGTTGATAACTGATCAGTTTATATATTTATAGAGTTAGAGATGGAAATTAGCTATCCTAACAATTTGTACACATTCTTCTAGACGAGTTCGTTATGTCTGCATTAGTAGATTATGCCCCCATGTTGTGGCGATAATTGATAGTTTGCTCAGCTGACTTTCCTGTATTTTAAGGATCGCATCAAGTGACTGGTTTGTTCCTTTGTCTCTCAGTACATGGGAAGTTAGTTACTAACTAGATCCTTTGCTTATAAGTTTCTCTGGTCAAATGTGTTAGCTTTTCCCATGGTAACTTGGATCTTGATTGATTCTCTGGCCTAACTCCTTGGACTTAGTTCAGTCTAGGTGTGATCAAATTCATGCTAATCTAGTTGACTCAGACTCATCTTAAGCTTAACCTGTCATAATGAAGACTCAAAATCATTATCTGGTTGATTGGTTGACATGAGTTCAAAGCTTTTGTCTTCAACTCAGTTGAATTGGTCTGCGTCTTGGCTGAACTGGTGTTCGTCTCAGTTGAAGTAGTCCTTGGATTGAATGAGCTACCCCTAGGCTCGGCCAAGCTACTCAGCTCAGCTAAACTAGCTTCCGATTCGGCTGAACTGGTTTTCAGCTGATCCAATCCAAATTTTGGTGTTACAGATCTTATGCCCATTATATTGCCTTCCCCTACCTTGTCCCAAATATGGCCAAGTGGGATTCTTCTATTGTTGATATTAATATATTATCACATATCAACCGTACTGTTTCCTTCATCTGTTGGAGAAGGGGTCTATTTCATTGGAACGTCGTGATTCACTAGTGAGAACTTCTAATTCATTAGGTTGATATTGATTCTTCTGGTTTCTCATTTAAGATAGGATTTGGATGTCATTACAAACTTGTAAATACTTTGATTGTTGGACAGCGAAGTAAATCATTGATGACGTTAGAGACCCAAGTCTTCTTTGGTTTGGTTTCCACACATCAGCTAACGAAAATTTTATGCTTCAACTTCCATTTATGTTCTTCCTTTCTACTTCTTTACTGCTATGTTCGACCTAATAACTGCCTTTTTGCCGGTCCAGGGCGTAGGTGGCACACAGTTAACCGCTTCAAACGGCAAAATGCTTTGGAAGTGCATAACATTGATAACATAGAAGATAAGATCAGCAATTTACCTGATTCCATTCTTCATCACATTCTTTCATATCTTCCTACCAGGGATGTTGTAGGGACATGTATACTATCAACAAGGTGGAAGAATCTTTGGACTTGTGTTGAAAACATTGACTTTGATGACTCATTGCTCTACTCAAGTGGGATTTTTGGTTATCCTGTGAACGTCACTTGTTTCATGCACTTTGTCCAGAGAGTTCTTCAACTTCGAGAAGAATCCGACATAAAAAAGTTTCGCCTTTCCTGCCGTGTTTGCTTCAGTGCCTCTCATGTTTGTTTATGGATTTTAGCTGCTATTAGGCATAATGTTAAAGAGCTTGATCTTTGCCTTTTTGTAGAAGAGCCTTTTATGTTGCCTCAATGTGTTTTCAGTAGCAAGACGCTTACTTCTCTAAAACTTGAAATGAATTGTGTTCTTGAACTACCTGCTAGTACCTTTTTTCCTTTCCTTAGAACGTTGCACCTATGTCTTGTCACATTTCGGGATGATAGCTCAACCCAGAGGCTGTTTTCTGGTTGCCCTATGCTTCGAGAGTTGGCTATATTAGATTGTGAATGGATGAACTTGAAGCATGTCGCAATTTCAATCTCTACATTGAAGAGTTTGACAATTGATGATTTGCCTTTCTTTGGCTCCACTGACGATCTAAATGGCTGCGAAATCAAGATTGATGCAGCAAGTCTTAGTTTCCTAAAGTACAGTGGTTATCTATCAAATGAGATATATTTGTATAATCTATCCCCCTCAGTGTATGCATCTATTCACATCCCAATTCTCTATGAGAAGCGAAATCAAATTGCTTTTCGTGCTGTTAAGCTCTTTAGAGGGCTACACAAAATTAACGCTGCGAGAATATCTAGCAGGGCTATTGAGGTAATTATTAACAGGACGGAATTAGCTACAGAACATGACAGTCTAGAATGTTGAATGTCTAAATATGCGGCACTGATTTTTTTTTCTTTTCCTTTTCTGTGATCCCACTTGTTGCTTGGCAAGTCTCTCTTCATCGCAGACATAGAGAAAGACCGACTTCCAGTATTTTATAACTTGATGCATTTGGAGTTGAGTATGGAACTTGAAAATCATACGATTGGACCATTGAAGGAACTGCTCCAATGTCTGCCAAAGTTGCAATCACTTCATTTTTCTGAGGTAGAAATACTTTGCCATTATGGACTTATTTATAAATTCTTTTCAAGTCATATGAATTATTTTTTATTTTTCATTTTTCTTTCCTTTCAGGGATTTGCCCCCTGCATGCGCCTTTGTGAAGATGACTGGAACTTGGGATCTGTACCATCCTGTTTCTTGTCTAGTCTCAAGACAGTGACATACACCAATTTTCATGGTAATGATACAGAAATTTCTTTTTTAAGAAATTTGGTGAACAATGCAATAGTTTTGGAGAAGCTGAACATAGTGTGTTCAAAGATACGTTTCGGGGATCCAAAGAAGCAAAAGGAAGTTAAAGTTCAACTGCAAAGTCTTCAGAGGGGATCAGTTTCTTGTGCTATCAAGTTTATGTAAAACCTCAAAGAGCCTTTACCTGTGAGTTCTTTTTCCATCAAGAAGCTTCACAGCTTTTCCTTGCCATTTTGCTTTTTCATGCAGAGCTGTGGTTTTTTTTAATCCCTTCTGCTTTGATTCATCAATCTATTTTCTAGCTAAATATCTGAATCAGAGCGCTCAGCATAAGTAATGAGTTTAAAATCTCGGATTCTTCCCTTTGAGTTTTACCAAGATAGGAATGATGAATGCTTAGTTTCTTGTCATTTTCAGAAGGTCAGTTTTCCATGGACTATTCATGAGTTAACTTGCAAGGGGTTAGTTATAAGTAGGGAAAACAAGAGGAAGGGTTATGCATGTTCCAGAATATCATAGAGGTGCATCTATCCCGGAGTTAATTTAACTTTTCTGTGACAAAGTAGCTAGTGCTTGAAAATAACATAGAAGTACACATGCTTTCCTGTTAATCTACATTTCAAAGTTCATTTTACACTGCTTATGTTAGTTGCTATCCAGGTCAAAATAAGATCACTCTTCATCCCTAATTTTGTGAATCTATTGGTCGCCAAATGAAAATATGACTCTTTATATAGTATATAAAGATTTGCACGTGCTTTGGTCTGTGAATCTATTGGTCGCCAGATGAAAATATGACTCTTTATATAAGTATATAAAGATTTGCACGTGCTTGCACCAAAAGCTCACCGTGTTAATAGAGTTAGGTTTGACTGGACAATTTATTCAGAGTTTCAGACCTAATTGTTCTATCTTTCGACAGCTTTAATTGAACTTCTGCACATAAGACTCTATTAAATTGGATTACTATTATAAATAGATAAATGGGAGCTGTAATTGCTTATTGAATATCTGGTTTCTGTAGTTAGGATGCACATTCAGGGGATTTCTTATTTAAAAGAACACTGTTGCTAAGAAATTGTTGAACTAGAACCTGTTTGGACTTTTACGACTGGAAACATCAAGGAATTTCTTCTTTCCTCAAGTAGTTAAAGGCAAGAGTAATTGCAATATGAAATTCTCCTTTTGGGGCCTGTTGAAATTTGATTTTTCTTCTCTTTCAGCTAGCCAAAAGAATTTGTCAATTTAAATTTAACTTGTACTTTGACGAATTTCATGTTACACTTAAAATTCTTAATGTAGTAAGTAACATCACCTATTTTGATATCAAACTCACGCTTGCTCTGCAAGATCAAGGTGGTTTGCCTTTTGATCTTTCATATGTTTTGAAAGATCTTGTGCTCCTTTACTATTAAAACTGTTGACAGTTTGATCATCTGATGGCATCTTCTTTCTGACACTTGGTAGTGCTGCAGTATTGCATTCAAAAGCCATTGACTTAAGAAACACATTCATGTTATTGTGTGTAAAGTGTAAACCTGATAGTAACATTTTTATGCTTTATTCAGTTTATTGTAGGTGTATGTGATGCAGTTTTCTACAAGCAGTTAGTTTGCAAGCATTTGTTGCGGCTCTTGCAGATCGCTGACTATGATCTTTTGATTTCTATTATGAGTGCAACACCATGCTTTAGTATGCTTGTCCTACTTCACACATCAGTTATTTTTTGGTAACGCTGTCTCCAGGTTCATGTAAATCAGTTGGAACTTCTTTTGGCACCTAGGTCACAAATCTTTAAGGTCTTTCTGGAGTAGTGGAATCTGACTACTGGAACAGGTAAACATTTAGCTTAGCTAAGGAACCTTTGCCTCTTTTGTCTTTTATTTTGTGGGGATTGGCCTAGATGCTAGGATGATGATTTTGTGATTGTTTTCTTTATTCAGAAAGAATCAAACATTGTAAATCTACTATAGTTGATATCTGACTTAGTCATGTGAACAGTAAGGATAGGGGAATTATTGTATCATAGTTTGGTTTTTGGGAAAGAAAGTTACACCTGGATTGATCAAGTTCCTATGTCTGCTATTTTGTGTGTTTTAACATTTCAAACTTTTGCATTATGTTCTGTTTCATAATTGAAGAAATTGAGTTTTTTTTCAAGGGGATACTCTTCTGATGCGCCCTCTTTACAGGCATGTCAGAATATTAAAAATATAAATATAAAATATAGTAGAATATAAGAGAAAGTGAGTATTCATAGGGGACTCATCTCTCTACTTTTCGTTGGTCCATCTTCTTAGTACTTGGTAGGTATTTAGACCTTAGATAATGCTAATTTCTAGTAGGAAATGTATATAGACCTTAGATATTGCTAATTTGTAGTATGAGATGTGTTGCCTTTCTACATAGTCACTAATATCTTTTGCCTAATGCTAGGTGATTTCTTTTTATTCCTCTAATCCTTGGAGGGCAGAGTTATCCAAAACCTGTTCCGATAGAAGACAGTAAGTATCTAATGGAATAATCGAGGTGCGTGAAAACTAGACATACACCACTATTTTAGAAATGAGTAAATACTGCTTTTGGTGGTTGCGTTGGGAAAGGAAGAAAAAGTATAAAGAAAGAGGAATCCAATAATGCTTCAAAAACATTTTTTTTCCTTCTTGACTTATACCTGCAGTGGAGGGTTGTTATTATAGTATACAATTGTCGTGCCATGAAAATGTCTTTTTATTCCAAGAAAAAGCCACTTAAGAATTAGTGTCCCCAATAGAGAGAACCAGACAGGGGACCTGCAAAAGTTCTCCGTCTGAGTGCGTTGTTTTGATAAGAGGTACATTTATTAATATGACACAGCATTTACATAATCTAGCAGGAATATGCCATTTCAGAAAACCCTTTTTTATTATAAGGGAAGGTCAAACTTTTGCACTGATAATTATAATTAATTAGGACTATGATTCTTTATGTCCTTATCAAGAGCAGTTTATGCCCTGAATCCAGTGCTGCTTGTGATTATCATTGTTATTATAAAAGAATGAGACTATTCTTTTTATTGATATAACACTAATTATAATAATGGAAATGATGCAAACTTAAATAAATCAACTCCACCGAACACCTGGTGTGGCCCCTTTGCCTACGCTTCAAACTTCCTCTGCGAGTAGGTGTGTGGGTAAGTTTGACAGTTACGGGCTGTCCTCTGCGAATAGTAAATATTGTTAGTAAATTTACAGTTTGATGGTATCTGAAAAAAGTTTTTTTTACACGATGTGTGTGTCACGGCTCCTTTTTGCGCGCCTACCCCAAAGGATAAATGTGTGAGGGAGTTTTTCCAATTTAAGTGACAATATTTGAAATGAGATTATTTATTTAATTCAGAGTCGCCACTTGGGAAATGTTTGGCTTTGGGTGTCCCAAGTCACCGGTTTATCTTGAATCCCAAATCGAGGAAATTTTCGACTTTCCAAATGAAGTCTGCGAACCAGAAATTCTAAGTAAGGAATTCTGTTGACCCGAGGGAAGGTGTTAGGCACCCTCGAATCCCGTGGTTCTAGCACGGTCGCTTAAATTGTTATAATGGCTAAATATCTGATTTAAATACATGTTATAACTTGTGTGCTTTTATTAAGTTTAAACCGCGTTTATTATTATTTTTTAATAGAATTGCAACGTCGTGAAAATGCATCTCGAACCACGTCGCAATCAATGCACCCGTGGTTGTTAATACATTCCGACTCTGTTGACATTTGGATTTGGGTTGCATAAATGCACACCCATACTTAGGGAAGTAATTTTATTAAAGACGCGCCCTAAGCGATTGGCGTATCGTTATTTTGGGCAAGGCCGTGAAACTTTGCTAAACGGCCCGTCCCGGAGTCTAAGCAACCTTACAAACACGTATAGAGGGCCCCGCAGCTTGTGTATTTTTTTTTGTTTGGCGAGGCTCGTCTCATTTATTTTAAAAGGATAATCTTAAAATGACTACATTTTCTATTTTTGTTCGTCTCAAAAATAAAAGAAGAAAATATATGCTAATTAAATTACATGCTTGGCAAGTTCAGGCATCTTATCAATTATTAGATTACAAAAGATGCTAACGTAAAATTACGATCGAATTTGCTCAAAAGAAAATTGTTTCGTGTCTTATTCTATAATTAAATATTACCAAAAGAAAAATGAAATTATAAATAAAATATGGAATTGACAAACAATATTATCAAAACAAACAAATTATTCTTTAACTAATTTAGACTTCACATTATTAGATGAATTGAACCATTGGAACTAATTATATTTTTTTTTTTAACTATTTGAAACTGAACCAACCTTGACTACCAATGCATACGAAAGTTGTTAAAACTTAATCGACACTTTGAAAACCTATTACATTTAAAGAAACTCTAACAAGCCTTGTTCGAAATCAACTCATGCATATTAAGTTAATGACCTTAGCCTCACTACATCGAATCAAACTTCAAATACGGCAGACCTACTGATTTTGCGAAATTACTGGCTTAATATCCTACTTTACTAATTTGAGTCAACATTTAACATGCTTATTTTCATATTACCACTACGGGATATGACATTTATAAACTATCTACATAATTTAACATTCTGTCACAAAAATCTACACGCCTAAAACAGTTCCAATTATACAGTCACGTTTCTATTATTCATACAGAATATAAAAAGAGAGCTAATATTGGACAAATCTACTTCATTTAACATCTATAGAATTAAAGACAACAAATAGCATCCAAATGTGCAGGTTTGCTGCATAATTCCGTTTCAACATCAACTCAGGTTACATCAAGGTGATTTGAAATATGTACTTGGAATTCAATGTTCAAAGGAAGAAGAAGAAAAAGTCAGCAGGAGCAGTAGCAACAACACAGCAACAGCAGTAATGCGATAGCCCAGGTAACAGATTAAAAACCAGCAGAAAAAATTCCAGCTATAACCAATGGAAACAGTAACAAATAACCCCAGCAAACTCAGGAGCAACCAATTGAAAATCCAGAAATACCAAAAGCAACTGAGTGAACCAATATAGCAAATTCAACTCCAAAACGAATCAGTGAACCAAACAGAAAACAGAGATTGGCTCACAACACTACCAACACAAGTCAAATGAATTCGAAAAATGCACTAGAGTTACTTAGGATCAGTGTTAATGTGTTTGGATCAGGAAAATGAAATCAATGAAGCAATGGGGTTTTCAACTCTCAAATTCTTTTTTTTTAATTCTGACCTCTTAGATTTTAAAAACCAGTCCCCTCTTATTTTTCGGAATCCNAAAAAATGAAAAAGAAAGGGGGTTGGGTCTTTGGGGTTATGGACTGGGTCGACCCGGGTTGAAATGGACCGGGTCGTAGGGAAAGGTTGGGTATCTTTGGGTCTGTGGTTTAAAATTGAAGAAAAGGCCCAATCCGATATTCGTGTATTTTTGTTCTTTTCTATTTATTTAATTTCCTAATTAATAAAGCTAAAAAAAATGCTAAGATTAAATTATAAAACCCTAACGTGCTCAAAAAAACTACTAATTAGCTCCTAATAACAATTATCGTACATTTAAATAGCAATTAACGATAAAATCACACAGTTTGGACGTTAAATGCTAAAAATACAACGTACATTATTTTTATGATTTTTTATTTTGTAAAACAAACTTAAATAAATATTAAATGCAAATGGGCATATTTTTATGTTTTTTATTAATTTAACAAATAAACATCCACAGACAAAATACAAATAATTATCCAAAAATGCCACGAAAATTCAAAAAATTGCACACAAAGGAAAATTATTTTGTTTTGAATTTTTGGGAGTAATTCTCATATAGGGCAAAAATCACGTGCTCACAGCTGCCCCTCTTTGCGCGGAAACACGTAGGGTTTTCGTGCAAAGATAAAGTGAGCAGATACGAGCGATTTTTGCCCGTTCGGGTACTTCGTGTGAAGCATCTTTTGAAAGATTTAACCGAACCTCTGCTTCGAAGGTTTCTTACATATCCCTGGCTAAAAGGGAATCAAGTTAATATAGTTTGGGGAGTTTTGGTAGCTGGGACTACCATGACGCTGCGACTTTACTGTTACTGCTGTTGCTGCTGCTACTACTGCTCACTGACCTCCTTATTACATTAAAAAGAAAAATCAAAGCTAAGCTAGCTAACTATGCCTATCAACTTCTAGTTACAAGATTCCTATATATAATTCTTTCGCAACTTGATCTTGAGTCTTAGCTGATTCTGCTTGTAGACTTCGATCTGAATCTTGATGCTCGCAAGTTGTAGGCGCTTGTTTATTTCTGCAGCATTGAGTGAAGCGGGATTGGCGGAGCTCGTTACTTCAATCAGATTTTGAGCGATACGCACTTTTTCTGTTCCAGTATTTGGGCTCATCTTCTTTTGTTCTTTTCCTCCTTTCTTTTATTCTGGATTG